CTCGATAGACTGCCAATTCTTGCTCGTTAGCACAAACACCGCCTTGCCCTAAATTACCTCTAAAACATATCTAAATAGCGCCCTCCAACTCCTAAAATTGACGAAGTTACGGCCACCGACGTGGGTGGCCGATCCATCCTGTCGCGGAGTGTAACATCTTCGTTTTAGTATAGTAATGCAGATAGTAGGTTGTCTATAATTGTTCTCTACTATAGAAAATTGTTAGAATTTCCTGAGTCTGATTTGGCAACCCTTTAACATATATCCTGTAGGGCATCACGGATATTGTATCGTTCCAAAAATGTCGACTGAGTTACAGGTAACATTAGGAGACCTTCAAGGAACATTCTGCTTGGACGAACTTGTCGCGCGTTCGCGGGATGCTACATAATCATCTACGTCAACAAGAACTGCTAAGTACATGTACTATTCAAGTACAATGCGTACGCGTAGCAAACCACGACTATAAAGAAAGCCGCACTCGCTCAGAAATTGATCAAGTTATCCTTCGAGGGAGCACTGCCAGTCGGCGTCTTCGAGATCGAAAATCTCCCAGTTATACTGCAAAATATCTAAGACAACGCTGTTTGAGAGCAGCTATCCCAAGATGACCACCAGAAAACACTACTGTTAGGCATAGCCTACAGAATCTACAGATTATCTTTGAACACCGTACAGGTTAACCTTATGATATTCAGCGGTAGGCGCTGAGGAACCTAGCGAAGTAAATAAGGAAACTGGATTCAATTATCTAGCTTGGTGAGCCTTGAATGAACCACCCACTGGGCAGAAGACGCTGCTGTCACAAGAGGAAACCCGGCAGGCAGGGGGGGGGGGGGGGGACAGCTATGGACGGAGGAGTTGTGGACAGCAGGGTTGTCGGGATAAATGACAGTCCTGTCAGCTGTGAACGATAGGTTATCGAGTGGCAAAAAAGCTTGGGTTCGTTTTACTGTAGTAATAAAGTACTATCATTGATGTTCCGATTACAATTCAAAATTTTAATATAATACATTATTACTACTGCAAGAACCTGAACAAGTACTATCCTAAATGCTGTTATTATTAATAATACTAGGAGGGCTATTATACAAGGTCTCAAAATACACTTTTTGTAGTGGAAACCTCAGCGCTTTCAATCGAAAAAAAATAATCTTTAACGTTGCCATGCAGCTTTTCCGCTTCAGTAGTGCCTCGAATTTCCCTGCTACCGTGAATTTGATCCGCACAGGGCGGCAACGACCTGTTCCAGTGAAGCTGTTACTGAAGAAAAGCTAGCGTAACGATCGGCTCGGCGAAGCCGATCACTGCGCTCATAGTGCGAAGAAAAATCTCGCCGTTTGTGGCTTTTTGTCATGCTTGAAGCCTTATTATGCGCTCTGGGCGTACCGCGTCGGTTAGTTAAACGTCTGATTCGCTCCAGATGCGTCGCTACTGCCCGTTTTTGACTATTGTTTCTTTGCAGCGGTTTTGGCAAAACTAGACTATTAAAATAGATATGCTATTTTACAGGTGGTGGATTTACAATAAATCGAGTTTATATAATTCATGATGCTCAATGATTTACGATTGGCCAGGATTGCACTTTCAAAAGTGGAATTCACGCACAGATGCTGCATTTCGTTCAGCCGCGCCTGTAGCTGTTCAATCAAACAGCGATGAATTTATCAGCGCGAACTGAAGTCACTGCTGGCTGGTACAGCCTCGTGGCCATATCGATAAATAATGATGCAGGTGGATTTAGACACATATGTAGCTAAATCCTCGAAGCATGCATCTTTCTTGACACTTATTTACGACGACAAGTTCCATTTTTATAGCCTAAAAATGTTGGCAAAATAACTGCAAAGGACAATACTTAAATTCAAATGAATTATTACTCGTTTTATTCGCTATCACGGTCGAAATCACAGGCCTCGCTGGGCTACGACTCTCTCATTCTTCGAGAATCCTACTTTTTACCTGCTCCGTTCCTATACTTGGTTCTGCTTCTGTTACCCGTTTGGAGCTAATTCACTCAGTGACGGTAAAGCCCTTTTGAACCCCGTATTAGCTGTATTTATTGTATTGAGTAGACTAGGCATTCGTTGCTTTGTTGAGGTTTAAACATATTCGAATTTGCATAATGTGGCTGAGACTGAGATTGATCAACCTCCATAAACAAGACAGAGATATTATCTTCTTTTTGGAGATTCATAGGTCCTGTCAGTCATGATCACTATTAATAGTGATTGGCATGTACGACGGGTCAACTTCTACGAATTCGTAGAAGATTTATCGGGACGCTCCCTATCGGGGAATAAATCTAGCTGACTGGCCACTTTGAGAATGCTGGTTGACCACCAAGTGAGATCGGCTACCTTGCTAAGGTACTCACTCCTTGAAGGTTGGAGGACGGTTGTTTCATGGCGGTCCCAGTGTAGGCAGCAACTTTCGAGAGAGGTGTGGCTGTCTGTCTTCCATCGTCTCCAACCGCTTCGTCTCCTAGACTAGATATCTTTGCTCTGCGTCCAGCGTCCACCTGTGCCTAAGCTGCTCGAATCGATCTTTACTTCGAATCGAAGATAAGTCCAACACGGCTTCCTCTACCTTGTCAACGGACAGTCTCCAATTTATCTCCTGATAGGCAGGACAGGACACTTTAACCGCGTTGCTGCCTGAAATGCGAGCTCCGCGCCGTGCTCGACACCAGATAGCTGTCCGAGCTCCAGTACTGGCAAGCCGCAAAAAACAAAAGGCACTTTGCCACCCCACCAGCAGCTCCGCCGTGACGCCGCCTACTGCCAGTTCGTCATCCTACCGATCATCGGTGCGGCGGGCAGTTCAAGTGGATGATCGAGAACTCTTCCGTCGCACACGACGCGTGCAACGCTGGCAGGATCTGTCCCGCAACAGCGATGACTACACGTCCGCAAATCTGGTGAACCAGGGGTGGAAATGGCGACGTCAGAAGAAGGGCTTCGAGCTTTACACCCGGCAGTCTCCGAAGCTAAACATCTCCGGAGCTCCAATAGGCTCCCAACCTTTCTCATCGATATTGGACAGCGAGATCTTAGCAGTAGGAAACGTAGCCTGCTCCATCAGCCAACTAGCATCGCCACTGCGATCTCCTAGTGAGAGCGAGTACAACTCGGTGATGCACTCGCTGTACGGCTCCGACTTCATTTACGGCTCTCTCGTCCACAAAGCCGTATTTCGTCGCAGGTCGCGCGCCAACAGTGCCCAGACGGAAGATCGCAGCAACCAGCTACTGGTCAAAACGTGCGCGTTCGTGCACACCTCCCTGTTCGACAAGAAGAACGAACAGTTATGCTACGCGGAGCTCTTCTCGCCCACAGTCAGCGGTGGATTCCACATCTCGACCTGCTCGCTGGCTGGCCGAGAGGTGATCGCAGGTAAAGTGCGGGCCCCGCTACGTCGTGCGCTGCACCAGCTGCACCCGTTCAGCGCGTGGCTATCCGCTGAGCCGGCGACATCGGGTGTTCACGTGGTATTTCGAGCTCGTTTCCACCGCTCTGAGAGCGACGGATCGTGCTCGCCCAAGGTAATGAATGCTCGACTCTGGAAGCTCGCTAAGGGATTGTGTAAACTCGACAAGCTGCTGGACAGTGCCCAGGATGCGCGGGGGCTGAGTACCAGCTGTATCAACCATTCTGTAGCTGGTGGCCCGCGGAACTCACGCTGCATCGTATGCACGCGGACAATGTTCTTCGTCTTCATGATGCGAAGCTGCAGTCGCTGCGAGCTTTGCTCCTACAACGTGTGTCACGCGTGCTGCTCGAACCAGCACGTGGCCATCTACAACAGGCATGTGGCGCCGTTGTTGGTCTGTGCCCGTTGCCATGAAAGCCTCGACCGAGACGAGTTCGACAGCCAACTGCGAGCCGTGAACCTCGAGCAGTAGTCATTTCGGAAGGAAGAAACAGGCTACGGACAAGCTTAGGCGGGGAAGTGTAGTCTAACACCGTCTCCATATAAGAACATCAGACAATTTGTTACGTGCACTTCAACTTGAAGTTGACTTGTACGTCACTCTGAACACGGACGACCACACCACCCCTTCAACCGTCCTAGCAGACGATAAATTGGCTTAGACATACCTCTAGCTGGGCACTGCTAGCAGCTCGAATTGAGCCTTGATAAAGGCGAGCTCGGCATCTCCGATAGGAACCAGCATTGCGGATCCAGGAGTGTCCAATCGGCCTGTCTTCGTCATTAGACTCGATTTCGTTAAAGCTTCCCGCCTGTACTTCTTGCGATCTTCCCGCGAACATTGATCCTCGCACAATCCGATGCATTGATTGACCAGCAGGTTTCGATGACCACCACTCCACTCGCAGCTTTACATTCAGCACGTCCAGTTGGTCATCAACGTGATGGCTCTAGTCGCAGCTTACTGCCGTCATCCGAGTCTTCCTGGTGTCTCCAACGACCACTTGGCAGCGGTAGCTGACCCCCCAGTGTTACATGTAGCGCTATGCTTACCAGCGAGAGCCATCAAGCATCTGTCGTCAAGGCATATCCGACGCAAGTGCTTCGTAGAGTCGTGGGGCTAGCAATCCTTGGCCACAACTCGAAAGATCACCGAATCGGTGGCGACGGTATCAAGAAAGCAGACGAATGGGACATCCGGATGGCACTGGCCATCGCCTGAATGGAAGAAATCGCAGACAATAGATGAAGTATTCATGTATGATCTCGGCCTGACTTCGGCCTTCGATTCCGAAAGCTAGAAGCTGCTACAAACATGTAGAGCGACCGCTGCCTGACCGGAGACTTGAATTATGTAAGTCTCTTCCCCGTCATAGGACCTCCATACCATCCCACCGTCCCCGTGCTCTTTTGCTGTCGTCACTCTCCGATTTGCTCTGTCCGTCCACCAGATGCGCCAAAGCTCGGATAGTCCGGCGCCAGCCCCCGCAGTGTTGGGGGCGTCGGTGTCGTCCTCCAGTCTATCGGCGGCACAGCGCAAGGTGCGGCTCACCGACCGCGAGCTATTTGCGCGCGTGCAGCGCGTTGTTGTACCCGATGGATCAGTGGATTTACACCGCCTGTCATCCAGGCGAGGGTGGAAGCGTGTTCGGACCGGTGTGACAGGCGGCATGAGTGTCCAATACCGAGTGCTGCGTTGCATCGCTCCGTCCCAGACGCGGCAGTGCCAGGTCGTTGTTGGTGGCGAGATCAAAGCACGAACGTCCGAGCTGCTGTCGCTGCTACGAGCTCCGACCGAGAGCGAGAGCAACGCGCTCCTGCGTGCTCTGTACGGATCGCAGTTCATCTACAGCTCTCTATTGCATGCTATCCCCAATACAGAGCGAGGATCGCTACCGTCACCTCCACAAAGAGAGAGTACGCATTGTAACACCGGCCAGCAACTCATGGTTCGTACTGTGAGCTTCGCACACAAAGGACTGTTCAATCCTTTCAAACAGCGCGCATCAACTGCAACTGCGTCTGACTCGATCACGTCGGATTCGCAGAGTTCGAGTCATCACCAGCAACATTATGGACGCAAAAACGAGCAGTGCTGCTTGATTGAACTCTTGACGCCTACGCAGGAGGGATTCAAACTCGCCTTTTGCACGCTGGATGCATCTGAAGTTACGGCAGGCAAGGCGCCACCCGAGCGTGTCATCGCGCTACACCCGATCTCAGGCTGGTTGACAGCCGAGCCAAAGCCTGGCAATCCAGGAACGCTTCAAATCACCTTCCAGGCTGCGTTCCCAGGCAGCTTGCCTGATAGTTGCGACTGGCGTGTTGCTCAAGACCGATTGCTATTTATCGGCAGGGGCATTTGCCGACTGGAGAAAGTTCTCCGTCGACGACGACGCCATCATCGTCATCAACACACTGCACCGGGACGACTGTGGCAAGCAATGTTGAACCCGTTTCGAGCTATTGGGGTTGTCGGCTTGGACGAAGAAGGATCTGGAGGTACTCATCACAACTGGCATTGTATTGCCTGTACCCGATCGTTCTTCCCTACTCTGCGTAAGAAGTGGAGTCGCTGTGACTTGTGTGCTTATCGAATCTGTGCAGAGCCACCATGTTGTTCTCAAGAGCGAGTCGCTATCTACAACCGCTATGTTGCACCATTACTTGTCTGCGCTCGATGCCGGGAGTGCATTGACGAGCGCGAGAATCCTGATAGAGGGAGTGGGAATCCGTTAGGGAATTCAACTGGGGATGCCCGCTATACGGGGATCAGTCTGCGATTTACAGGTCGAGAGAGCGAGCTCGAACCGGAGCTTGAGTTGGATCCCATGGGCCAAAGTTACGATCGATGGGGAACGACTACTACAACCGCCAGAAGATCAAGCGGTGGAGTACGAAGGAAACGTAGAACCCAATCGGACCCGCCACCTCTGCTGGGGTTAGCGTTCTCAAGTTCCGGAGACGATAGCAGCTCTTCAGGAGCGGATATCGCACCCGATGCTCGTTCGAAGCACTAAGGGATCTCATTGTGTAATTCTCGCGCGATTCAACGACCGCGCATGTGAAGATACTGTTAAAACTAGTGAGTCGATGCATTGACTTTGGTCATCCGTTACCCGTTCGAGCGCAACTTCGAGCAGCTTTTAAACGTTTCTTTGTGTGGCTTTGGTATGTGCAGTCACTCGATCGCAATTGAGGAAACCTCGACGAACGGAGTAAGTTCAGGTTTCGGCTAGGCAACAGTGTCGTGCCACGAACGTGTAGTCATCATAATGTGTGTTCGCAATTATTGTTGGTTTTTGGTGGGATTGACCAACATGTTCAACATCATAATCCTCATAATGATTGGCCGTCAACTTCAACTTATCTGATAAGATAGACACTTGCCGTTGTCCGTGACTGGTATGTACAGGATACAGTAGCGTTTGCTATCAGTGCCAACCATTTTTCATTATGGCTGGAATCAACCGTTGGAACATGTCTGATCCTTTTTTCAATGTACCAGAGACAAAAGTCTATGTTCATCCCTTGGGCGTTATTCGCCGGAAATGACGGTTGAGCGGAACAACTCCATTGTGGACGTGTTTGCCAGCGCAACAAATCCTCACGTTGGCAAGACAGTGGTGTGAAACTCCCACCTTAGGCGGAACGATTACACTGTGTAAGATGTTCACAGTGCAGGACGATCTCGATGCAAATGAGTCTCTCGAGCTCCCTAGCCATGCGATGCAAATTTCTCCTGAAACGCTACCTCGTTAGGGCACACTGAGCTGTCGACGTCCAGGAGCCCAATACCGGGGGAAAATATAGTCTGGGTGTATGTCGGAAATCTCTTGAGCACGGGACGATGCTGAACTCTTAGCGCTGTGCGCTGGCCGTATCATCCTGTACTGTTATGTAAATACGAGAACGTTATCGACAGTCTTACGATGACCCATACGCATTAGCCTTGGAGTCGGAGCCCGGCGTTACGGTTGGACTCGAAGAAGCAGGATCATCATCACACTACTCATCAGACTAAAATAAATCACCTGGCCTATGGGCTTCGTTTGCTCCTTAATAGAGCTATACGGAAGCCCCAGAAAGCAGATACGACCATGAACAACGTGTAAAATAATGGCCTCCATGGTCGTAGTATCCTTCGATTCCGTCGAGAGCGTCGCTTCTCGCATCGAGCTTTCTTTGTTTAGACGGTTCCAATAATCGTCCGTGATAAACGCGCTTAGCTCCTGATAGCCTGCTTGAAGATTATTGCGATTCAACAATGAAACCAGTATAAACATTGTTGTCAACAACTAGCTCCGTTGCAAATCGGTTAGCATTCTTCGTGTCGAGGAAGTCTCAAATCTATCAGGAGTGCGTGAGTCAAGATGAAAGCGACAACTCGTTTATCGGCTGCATCGAAAAGTCTGCCAAACCAAGACAGCCAACGAAAGGCGCATGCATATTCGCCCGACTGTTGGTTCACAATGAACAGTGTGGAATTCGCGCGAAGCGCGTAGTCCCATGTGAGAACGCTGTAAAGCAGTGTGGTTTAAAGCCGCGACACGCGGCTTTATTTTTCCGGCGTGATTTGCTGGCTTGAGCCGTTAATTAGCGTCATTATACACACGTATAGTCTTGCTTCGGATAATTACCAGTATACTTTACAAACATGCTGTATACTTTCAAACGTTTCACAGGCCACAAGCAATCTTGCGGAAGAAGCTAGTATGGCGTCGCGAAAATGCACGTGGTCACGGCGAGAGGCATCGGTTATACTCGACAATGCTGTCGCTGTTG